TTATTTCTTTCAGTGAGTCTCAGAGGTGCTACAGGATCTCTCGATGCACTATTTTTGCCCTGTTCTTCAGTCCCAGAGGTTCCCGGAGCAGCTTGCTAGTATCAGCAGTAAAACAGTTTGCACTCAGCTACAGTCTTAAGAGACATGATGTTCAAGGAAAAAGATGGAGGGGCAAAAAACAAGCTCAGGCACCAATCTTAAAATTAGAATTGATGGAATGGGTGCCATTATGTGATGGTTGAAAGGCAACTGGCCTCCCAACAGAGGTGATGAAATTCTCCCTCTGCTTTGCTGACTGAGGGAATGGAGGCTGCTGTATGGCAAAACAGCTGATTTTTCAACATATCAGTACTACTAATATTACCATCATTTGTGTTATTATTCCTATTTTTCTACTATTTTTCTATGGTAAAATCAAGACAGAAAAAACAATTAACATTGTGTGTGTTTTTTAAAAAAAGTTACATGAGAAAGAAGTGTTTGACCCTCACATTTTCCCCTCCAGAGATCAGTAAAACATTAACTCCTTCCTCTTCACAGCCCTCCAATTTGCAGTGATTATTTATTACTGTGTACAAGACATACATTTTGAAACCACACATCCAGCTTTTATTATACTGCTCTTCAGGGACTTGTGGTAGCTATGCAATGCAAGGCCACACATAAGATTGATTGAAATGCAAACCAGCAACCAACTGAACATTTAAAAAGTAGATGGGTGCATGCAAGTTGTGTGTTTTAATGAGACTTGTTCTACACGGTAACTGTGTGATGTGTGTGTTCCTGCATTTGAATCAAATGTTTGAAGGTATTAAAATGGGAAATGGATGGGTCCTTTCAGATGAGGCTTTTTTTTTTTTCATTCAGCTTGCCTTCTTGACTGAATTTTATGAAAAGGTTCAAATGGGTCCTAGACAAATCCTAGAGCAATTAGTCATTTTAACCAAAATGATTAAACTGAAGCTATCATACTTCATGCATATCATGAGGTGATATGGAAAAAAATAATTATTAGTAAAAGACAGCATGGTATAGTGGTTTGGGTATTGGACCATGACTTGAGATCAGGATTTGAACCTTCACTCATCATGAAACCCCCCGGGTGACCTTGGGCAAGTCACACACTCTCAGCCTCAGAGGAAAGCAAAGGCAACCCCCCTTGAACAAATTTTGCCAAGAAAACCCTATGAGATGTTCGCTTAGGGTTATCATAAGTTGAAAATTACTTGAAAGTACACACCAACAAAAGGCAGTAAGAAAAGAGAAAGACTACGTTCAAGGTGGATTATCAGAAAAGGAAGTCAGTGCTCTAAAGTAGCAGTATCTGCATATAGCAGCTGATGAGAAGAGCCCTCTGAGGTTTCTCATTCATAGGGTTGTCATGAAGTCAACAGCAAATCACTACCACCACCACCAGATGATGGCATCTTGCAATTGGACCCATCCTGTGTTTTGTCACCATCTCTTCCATCTTCATCCCTCCATGATGTCATTTTGTTGGAAGTGCTAGGAGCCCTCCATCTGGAAGCATCTAAAGCAGCAGCCATTGAATCAGGCAACAAGTCCGTTGAGGTGAGAAATATTTGGTGGTGGCTGGGACCATGTTGGGACAGTGAATCAATTAGGAGATTAAGCCCAAATGTTAAAGAGGTTATCCGAGGTGCTGCACCCTTGGCTGTGAAATAGGTTCAGCACTTTGAATACCTCTTTTAAAATACAGATGATAACCCAACCTGCTCTAGTGATACAGGAGACCCCAGCCACAGCTAAGAGCATTTGTGTTTCCAAACTCCTTGTCATCTTCCATGGTTGAGGCATGGATAAAGCCTTCATGAGGACAGTGGCAACTGCTGGCTCCAATGTCAGTGAGGCAGTGAATCCATTCCCATGATTTGGCTAGATTTAAAAGTGTTATTGAAGGTGGTGAGCATACCTAGGAATCTAATTCAAAGACATAACCATGTTAGTCTGGAAAATCAATATGCAAAGAGATCTAGTAGCAGCTTTGAGACTAACTGAAAGAAGCTAGTAGTATGAGTTTTCGTAGACTTGTGTCTACTTTTTAAACTGCCCCCTGCATGCATCTGAGGAAGTAGGCTTAAGTCTCCATGCTCCCAGCTTCTTTCTTACAGTTAGTCTCAACGGTGCTACTAGATCCCTTTGAATACTACCTAGGAATAGTGTTCAGCACCATGGAGACCTCGAAAACCTGAATTGAAACCCTGGCCACTACTGCATCTGCAAGCACCTTACATGTTATTAAGGCATTTGATGGGATTTGAACTCTGGATTGCACGACACCAAGCTGTTACACTCTGGATGTTCAGTCTTTACCACTGGCTTTATCTGTTCCCTGATCTACTTCCATTCTGTCCATCCTCACACTCTTCCTGTTGGTTTTAGAGTAGTAGTAAAAACATGCCAACAGTGCACTTTAAATGTAAATGTGATCCTCAGAGGGTTGCAAGCAAATGAAGGGGAACAATAAATATCCTTGGAATTGCCAATCCATGGTACCACATGGGGTGTTTTGTGTCACGCTACTGTAATGCTGCTTTGGGGTGTCACCAAGGGTGAACAAATGTTGGAGACTTGACAATTTATTTGTCTTTAAAAATGAATCCAATGATAAACCTGTCCCTGGGGAAGCAGCTGAGGAACAATTACAGAAGTGATAGCCATTAAATTGATGGCATGTCTGGGGTCTCTGGAGTCACATGCTGTAAAAATGGATAGGGTATTTTTCGAGTGATGTATAATGGCGTGTGTAGGGGAATAAGTAATGTTTACAATGTGCAGATGTGGCTTAGCAGCACCTGCCTTTCCAAATCCAGGATTTAGTGAGGTGCTTGCACAGAATTCCTTATTTTATTTTAATTTATTTTATTAAAATGTTTATATCCCACTGTAGAGCATAACATCTCTGAACAGCATACAAATAACATTGATGTAAACAATTTAAAACAGCAAAAATAATTTTAATAGACTAAAAGCATATTAAGCATGTTGACATGTTAAAAGCAGTTTAACATGGTTTAAAACCATGTGCATCAACATTTTGAGGTAAATAATTTAGGCCTTGGGAAGACTGGGTAGACAGCCATCTCTCTACTTGGTATCTACATACAACCTGTGTTGGTGCCAATTGGGCATCCAAGGGGAGGGCATTCCACAACTGAGGTGCCATAGCTGGGAAGACCTTCTCCTACATCCTCACGCAATATGTTGAGCTCACTGGTGAAGCATGTGAGATTAGTGCTATTGTCCTATAGTTGCTGCAGTCTTTTGTATTTCCTTTCTTGTGGATTGGTATGTATATTGAGTGTTTCCAGTCTGTCGGCCACCTCTTTGTTTTCTTTGTTGGCATGCATAGCTCATACTTATTTTTAAAATATTTTTTCATGATCTATTGTTTGGCTAGTTCTTTTTTTGTGACTTATTGATTCTTTCTTTCTTTCTTTCTTTCTTTCTTTCTTTCTTTCTTTCTTGAATAGCAATGTAATCAGGGCCAAAAACAATATGGTGAAGCAATTGTGGAACAAGACTTTTCTTTCAATGGCTGGTGACAGTTCACCATCTGCTTGAAGTGTACACTCATAAGGTCCCCAGCTTTGCAACCCCTTGAAGATGACAATTGTTGTCACAGAAGAATTCAACAGATGCTTTTAAAAGAAAGAAAAAAATCCAGGTGCATATTTCATAGCATTAGCAGGATGTATGTCCCACAGGACAGAGTTGATTTCAGTTCTCTCTTATATAAAGTATTGAATCAAGCTCTGGGCTATGCATGGACTAGTTGAGAACCAGTAAGATGAAATTCATAAGCAAGTAGTACTCAGAGTAGGTGGCTCATCTGCTCCAGGAGTTGGCGTTCAGAATGTGGCTGTACTTCTCTTAAAAAATCATAGTTTGGAATGCTCACAGATATCTAGAGACTCAAGTGGACTTAATGGCACACAGGACTTTTTTTGCAGGCCAGGAAGATGTACTAACTATGACCTCTCCTGGACAAAGAGAGGCACAATGCTGTTTTCTATGCTCAGTTGTCAGTCTAGACTACTGCAGCAGACAGCCTTTGAAAACAGGAAACTATACTGGTACAAAATTAAACTGCTAAATTTCTAACTTGCAAGGACAGACAAAGGTAGTATATTATACATGTGTTTAAATAACTGGCTTCTCTCCCAGTCTATTCCCAATCACATTTTACATGTTGGTGCTTACCTTTAGACAACTTGACACACATAACCCAGTAGGTACTAATGTGGCCATAAAAATCTTGCAAGTTAATTTGGAGGCTCTTCTCTGGATGTTTTAATGAAATAAGGTAAATGTCAAAAGAGGAGAGTTTGTGGTGATTTCCTGCTTCTGGAACTCTTTTTCCTACAAATCTCATTACCTATATTATCTTTCGGTGAATCTCCCATGCCTTTTCTAGCTGTTAACATGCAGTTATGCTGTAGTGCCATTTAAGGTGTTCTTTCTGTATTTTACTTTTGTTTGCTCTTTATTGTAGCTTTTATTGAGATTTGTTTTGTTTTGTTTTTAAAATGAATAAGCACATACTGCAGTGACAAATTACTCTGATAATTTTCTCAGAAGGCCAACAGGTAAGTTTATTAAATAATTAAAAATGATGCATACCAAAACAAATCCCTCCAGTTCAAAAACAGTAACATGAGCCCAGCCTGAGAGGTTTACACTCCCTGATAACACTGTTAAATGCATTTCCCAACTCACTGAGAGTACCAGTTTGTGGATTGTGTCTGCAGGCAAAGTGAGGATGGGTGTCACGTCCCAGGTCCGTTTCTCTTTCCCAGAAGCCCACACTGCTCTAATCTGTACTGAAGAAATAATGCAGTTTGACACCATTTTAACTGCCATATGGAATATGGGAATCTGTACTTTGTTGTGGCATCAGAGCTCTTTGGCAGAGAAGGCTAAATATCTCACAAAACTACCCAGAATTCCATACTGAACCATGGCAGTTAAAGTGGAGAGCCAGTGTGGCGTAGTGGTTTGAGTGTTGGACTGTGACTCTGGAGGATCAGGATTCGATTTCCAGCTCAGCCATGAAACCTACTGGGTGACTGGGCAAGTCACATGCTCTCAGCCTCAGGGGAAATCAATGGCAAATCTCTGAACAAATCTTGCCAAGAAAACCTCATGGTGGCCTTAGGGTCATCATAAGTCAGAAATGACTTGAAGGCACACAACAACAAACAAAGTTAAAGTGGTGTAAACCTGCAGTGCAGATTAGACCCCAGTTTTCATGGGATCTGGTATACAGTTGGAAGGACAGCTAATCTGATGCAACCTAATGGGTTGGGAGGGTTGGGGCTTAGGAACAAGTGAGCCTCCTAGCCTCAGGTTATTTCCTAGCCCACATAAACTGATTTGTCCATCACATCATTAGGCCAATTTATGACTACATCTGAACCCATACTGTTGGCTAATAAAGCAGAACCTTTTCCGTTCCAACAAAATGTGGCCTTCATTCATTCTTGCTAAAAACGAAGCCCCACACTTACCACTAGGCCCCCAAATGCTCACTTGCCTAATCCATTTGCCTTCTTTCGTCCCATGAAAATATTAATCACCTTTTAAAAAAGAAGACAACAATGGCAGGTATCTTCATTCCACTTCCTTTATCAGACTGAGATTCAGACTAGTTTTATTTGGATATGGCACAATGTCCATTTCAAAAGACTATATCCATAAAATGTATCACTTACTGTACCTTAAACTTCAACAGAGGGATATCTCCCTTACCCTCTCCATTGCAAAACATGTCCGGACAGGATACCATATATCCCATTCCACCCCTGGAATGTTTAAACAAGGACCAACATTATAGTCTGTGATGGCATGAGCAGTTTTACAAAGGAGAGCAGGTGTGCCTGCTTGAAAGATAACCTATTCCCCCATCTGCCGATAAGATAAATGACCCAATTCTTGTGAATTAGTTAATGTTTCCCTTTCCAGCCTGCTGTGTATATAGAGGCCTGCTGGACAAGCTGTCTTGAACGGTACGCCACTGTGTGCACAGTACTATAATTCTCAACATTATCATCCTCTCACCTGGTGCCCTTAGCTAAACATTCTTTTAATCGATTGCACAAAACTGATCTGAACTTTAGGGGTTCTAGCTTTTCTTTTAAGAAATGTTCAGTAAAACAAATAGCTAAAAATGTGGATATGTCAAATGAGTGTCAGGTTTGCCTGTATCTTTATTTCCAAGTTATGCTGACATTTAGGTAAATGTGATGCTTTGATTTCAGAAAGACCATTAATCCCACCTTTTTCTCCTGGTCAAAAATCTCTGTGTATAAATATATCTTGCTATTATGGGTTCTTCTTTATGGATTATATTATATTGGAAGAAGATATTTTTGATTGAGACAGGAAACAGCTGGTACTTCGTCACTTAACATGTCTGAAGCCAATATTCAACAGTTGCTTTCTGCAGCACAAGTAGTGTTGCAGCAGCAGAAATCCTGTTTCAGATTATATGTAAGTAGGGAATTGAATCCAGTTTAGGACTCCTGAGCTGTATGTGGTACAATGAATAGCATTTCTATGTGACCCTCTAATGCAATGCAGACTGCTTTCATATGCATGCGCTAATGCTTGTGCAACTGGAAAATCCAGTGAAACTCCATTTATGTACTGTTTTGCTTTGCTAGCTTTTCAGTGGGTTTAAACTTGAGATTTATATCATCATTTACCACAGAAAGATATTTCAGCCATTTTCACTAATTAGCTTTATGCAAGAGGACTTTACCACCCAATCTGTGATCATATCATGCCTTTTACTCCCTGTACAATGTTGAAGAAACCACCATTCTTCTCTATCAACTCCAAGCCAACAGTGGTCCTTTTTGTGTGTCTTTACTGGGGGATTTTTTGAGGGAGAAGCCCACAGTCCTGTTTCACTGCTTACTTAAGAAGTCTCAATATGGACACTGAGAGAGCTGCTGCAGACCTGCAACATTTGTGGGGTGTTTGTCTTCTTGCCTAGAGATGTGGGGAACTTCATCTGCACCAAGTGCAAGTTGGTAGCCCTCTTGGAAGAGAAAGTTCAGGAGCTGCAGGCCTGGGTAGCTACACTTCAGCATATTAGAGAGCAAGGTCTTCCTGGACAGAATGGAACAGTCT